GAGAAAATGACATCTTTGTCCACTACCCTCTCCACTGTATGGGGGTTATAATCATAGGTAGCTAAACACAGGCTGGGCCCTGAACATTTATACAGCTTCTGAAAGGGAGTCAAGAAAACCCAAGAGTGGAGTTTGGGTTTACCTTAGGGAAAGATGAAATCTCTTTTTAAACAGTGGTCAGAATCATGACAACATTTTCATTTCTGCAAGTTTAATGTTCATTCAGGACAAAGGAGAAGGTGATGTGGGGCAGGGACTTGGGCTGAAGGGAGATGCTGCATAATAATCACAGGTCCACACGAAGCCCAGTTTCTGCAGAATCTCCACAGCGGCTTACTGTATGCTCTGCAGCAAGCCTACAGGTGAATGGGTAGGCCCGGGGCCTGGGCCTATCTTTTGGGCATGCTATATATTTTCAAGTTCAAAGTAATTAAGTTCCACACAACGATAAATTTCATGGCATGCAATTCCAGAGTGCAGGATGGTTTGCATATACACAGTTTCAACGAGGATGAAAGCAAAACTGCTACCTCCCAAGCACTGGGTGCCTGTGTTTCTGATGCTCAGTGCACATTGGCACTGGATGTACACAAGATGGTGAGGGGTGGGCTTCCTTGGGGTCCCAGATATAAGAATGGTCTCCTGAGACTTGTGCTTTGTGCGCCTAGGACCCAAAAGTCAGTGTGGTTGCTGGTGGGAAGCAAGAAGCAAGTTCTTGCTGCCGTCAGGACAAACTTCCTCACTGCACACTTGATTGGGAAACAAAGAGCCACAAAAGGAACACTAAATCTCAATTCCATGCAGACGATCTGACCCAGGGCTACTGCATCCCCAAACTGGGACAACTCTCTCGTCTAGCGTATATTTATGTCCCCCAAAGATTATGTGCTCCTTGACCAAATATCCTAGATCACATGGTGAGCCTTTAGACTCTGTGGGGGTTTTTTAGCCTAAGTCATTACCAATGCCAGCCTTCCTCCTACACCTTCACGCCCTCACTGGGCAGCTACTCTCAATAAATGGCTGAAGTTGGTTGGAAACAACTGTCTGAAAGTGAGAGCTGTAAGACCCAGCACCTCTGGGTAGACTGGGGACATAACATGACCTGGTCATTGTCAAGCATTTAGCCATTCATCATAACCCCTTCCTGCCTCGTGAAAACTCTTAGTCAAGCTTGTCCTTTGAATGCATGCTAATGGCTCGAAGGGAACACTGACCCACTTAAAGTATACTCAGCGGTACACAAAAGGAATATGAAATGCCCTCTGGCAGAGGAAGATGGAGAGGAACAGAAGGCTAGGGTAGTTCGGTTTAAGTCATGCTCTGCACTTGGGGGAGTGTGGGGTGGAGAGATCATGGCCTCTGCCTCTCTCTCTCTCTCTCTCCTTGATGTCTGAGAGGCTGCACAGAACAGATGGGGCAACTGTCCTCTTGAAGAAGACCATGCCCTTTTCATAGCCACAATGATATGCGTGCTCCCAAGCAGCTGTAGAATGTGAATTAGGGCAAGAAAATACAGACTTTTCAAAGTTGAATGTTTTATTTCCCTGCCGAGAGCAGGTATTCTTCTGTGACACTGTTAATGAGGAAGGATGGGGTTAACCAGATGGATACGCATAGTGGCTATTGCTCAGTGTTCTTGTTCTTTTCTCTTATAGAAGACCTTCTTAGTCTGACCAGTCCTTGCCGAAAGGGTGAGGACCACATGGACACTGCCGTGGGGATGCTTGTGTCCGGGTACCACTGCCTACTGCCAAATGTTTTCTCGGATAATGAGCGCTTTCATAGTGAGATCGTGGACTCACTATGACAGAGAACTTGTGGACTGCTTTTGCCTGCTGTCCTGAGTGTGTGGGGGGGTCATCTGGCTGTATTTAAATTTAACTTTGTTCCATCTTAATCAGGGGATCAAATGGTTTTTATTTTGCTTCTGGGTTGCCACACACAATGATCTGAATGACTCAATGCCTCAATTTTTAACACAGAAAAATAACTTGCTAACAGGGTGGGTTATATTTTCATGGCAGTTCTGAGAGTACAAATGTACCAGATTGAGGCTTTGCCATAGAGTTGTGTAGGAAGGTCTGACCCCGTGGCATGACATCTAAAACTAAGGTCTGTGATCTTGATGCAATGAAGCAAAGAGATTTCCTCCTTTCCCCTCATGTGATCACACACACACACACACACACACACACACACGGAAAATAGGGGGGCCAAATGGTGAAAAAACTGAAAGGTTGGAAGATGTCACTAAGATGTGAGTTCCCACTGTGAGTAGGTGCTGGAGAAGCTTGCCCACAGGGCAGCCGGGCCTCAGGAGGAGAGGGATTGGTCTGATGCACACGTGGCTCTGCCCGGTGTGGTGCTACGGGGGATCCCCAGGGACCATGTCCACCGAATGCACTTTGGCCTTCTCTCCTGCATAGGGTTCCCACATTCAGCGTCCTGGTACTCGTGGGCTAATGCTCCTCTCCTTACGCCAAAGAGCTGTCAGGATGCC